TTAACAAAAACTTAAAAAATTCTTTAAACAAAAAAATGAATGGAATTAATCAATTTCATCTGGGAATTAAACAGGTGCTTCAGCAGGATAAGATTACTACTTATCTATTGTATATATTATAACTGTGCCCAACAGGTGACGGTGCACACCTTTAATTCCAGCCCTTGGGAGACAAAGGCAGGCAGATCCTGTGAGTGCAAGGCCAGCCTGGTCTATAGAGTGAGTTACAGGACAGCTAAGGCTACACAGAGAAACCCTGTCAGCAGGGGAGAAAAGAAAATGGAGAAAAACAAAAACCCCTGTGCCCAACAAGGTAGCATCTTGCCACTGCCTGTGTCTTTCACAAAATATCACAGTGATTTCAAGTAGACCATGCCAAGAGAGATTTGAGACTGTGTTTGTTTGTCATGGAAGCTTGATGCCAATCTTTTAAAGGTTGTTGAAATTAGTAAGGTGCAACTGTGGCATTTGTCACCAGACAATGCAAGCCTGAAAATTTGAGTTCAGTTCTCTGAACCCACATAGAAATGAAGGAGGAAAAATTATTTCATAAAGTTGTACTCTGACCTCTACTCATGTAATAGTGACATTTTTAAAAATTCTTAAAAGTTCTAGATTGATGGTATATAATGAAATTCTCTCCATGGATCTCTTATTGTTACAAGACTTACAGAAATTTAATACAGATTTTTTTTTTTTTTTTGGTTTTTCGAGACAGGGTTTCACTGTATTGCTTTGGAGCCTGTCCTGGAACTCGCTCTGTAGACCAGGCTGGCCTCAAACTCACAGAGATCCGCCTGCCACTGCCTCCCGAGTGCTGGGATTAAAGGCATGCACCACCAACGCCCGGCTAATACAGATATTTTAAAATTTATTTTTTGGTATTGCTTGAGGTTTTTGGTGTTGAAATAGAATAATATTTTATTCAGAGTTTTCTTGGCCTTTTGTCACTTTACTAAAATAAATATGAAATCTTTGTATGAGGCAAATTGACTGCACATTCATGTATATATAGGTCAGAAGACAACCTTCGGCGTCATTTATTTAGTTAATAAGTTTTGGTTTTTCAAGACAGGGTTTCTCTGTGTAGCTAGCCCTGACTATCCTGCAACTCACTGCATAGGCTGGCCAGGAACTCAGATTCACCTGCCTCTGCCTCCCAGGTATTGGGATTAAAGGTGTACGCCACAATGTCTGGCTTTCTTAATCACCAACCACCTTTTGTTGGAGACAGGGTCTCTCATTTGGTGTGAAACTTCACCATATAGGCCAGACCAGCTGGCCAGCAAACTCCAGGGATCCTCCTGTCCCTGCCTCCTGTAGGAACCGTATGTCCTACTACAGCCAGCCTCCTATGTGGGTTCTGGGGCTCTAACCTCAGATCCTCAATTTGCAAATCCAAGTGAGCAATCTTCTCATTTCTCCTAATTTTAAATATTCTTATTTTTCCTGTTGGGCAGGAGTTAATTCTATAATGGGTTTCTATACTAAAGAAAATTATGTGTCCAGGTTTCAGCTGAATAAAATAATTATACTTAAAACTACTCCTACTGTTATAGTCCATTTTTCCCATAAATGGAAATTTATAAAGTCTTTGTTTTTATTCACATTTAAATGTTCACATTCAAATTATTTTAAGTAGTTTAGTGTTTTTAAATTTTAATATATTTATTTTTTAAAAAATACACTTAAGGAAATATAAGGATTAAGGAAACAGCAAATGGGTTAAACCAACAAAATGTTTTAGATGCTGTTTAAAAATCATTTAATTAGTCTGTATATTAATAATGGTCAAAGTAAAGACAATAATATTCAGCAAGTAATACAGATGAATACTGATGAATAGAATCAGACGACTTCATACTAAGAAATTTGGAGTCTGTTCTTTAATTCAACCAATTAGATTTAACAATTTTTCTATTATGACTACTAAAGTCATTGACCAGATTAAATGAAAAGGAGTTCCTTGTAGGTTATTCCACAGATTGTGAAGGTTCGGTGTGCAAGACTAAGTCATTTAGTGCATTGGACCTTTTATTCTGAAGTGAGGTTCTTATAAGAATTGAAACTTAGAGCATAGCAGGCCTAGGGGTTTGCCTTCCTTGATACTCCCCCAATAGTAGCAGCCTGTCAGCTGTATGCTAACGAGATGAACAATTAAAATGGTCCTATCTGGCTGGCCCACAGGCTTCCGCACAAAGAACTGTTTATACACCTGTTGTTCATGAAGACAGCCATGTCAGTGTGGAGCCACAGATTAAAGGAAGAATATGGGAGCCAGGGTTGGCAAGGGTTAAGGAGAACTATTAAACTGGAAGTCAAATGCTTCAGAAAATATATGAGGGCCATTTGCAAGAGGAATCAAGTTACAAAGAAAAAGTTTCTGCTGGCTGCATTAACATGGGAAACTCCAGACTTCAAGCTTTCTGCTAGTCTGAGACCATAATTTAAAGGTTTATATTTTTACTACATATGCCAACTGAAAAGTTTTTGGAGGCCAGTATTGTGAGTGCTGTAAGAAAATAACCTTGGACTGTTTCATTGAGGCAAAAATACTTGCTAGCATTTATATCCCCAAATAAGCAAGACAGCATACCTTATTTCCTTTGATGAAGAGCCTTTTGTTGGGAAAAGGGTCGGCACAGTACTTTTTGTTAAAGTGCAGAAATTTTGTTTTGTTTTGTTTTGTTTTCTTGTGCTATTGAAGTAAAGGAAGTAGAATTCGGCAGATGCTTTGCCTCTGAACAACTCAGCTGTTGCAGCTCAGGCTAGGTTTCTCTTGTGTAATACAGAGTGGGTATTTGTGTATTTTGAAGTTTATAAGGCCTTTTCCTTTAGTGTTTGTTGTTGTTGTTGTTTGGTAATTCAGAATATTAAATAAAAACAGAATTAAGTATCTTTTAACCAAAATCTTGTGAAGTTTTAAGTGTACAAACTTACGGAAAGTTCAGCTTCTGCTTTATTGAAGAGAGATTTCCTCTATGGTATTTCACCTTTAAAATAGGTTCACACTTCAATTAGCAGCTGTATGTTGTCTATCCCGTGTCTTTTCATAAAATGGAATTTACTTTGTGTGTGTTTATGGTTTGTGGGGGGCCAGAGGGGTTGAGATACTGGCTGTGTGTGTGTGTGTGTGTGTGTGTGTGTGTGTGTGTGTGTGTGTGTGTGTGTGTAGTTAACATCTGGTGTCTTTCTCCCTAGAGGAAGGGAGGGGAGAGAGAGGAGTGTGTGTGTGTGTGTGTGAGAGAGAGAGAGAAAGAGAGAGAATGTGAAGTTAACATCCAGTGTCTTTCTCCCTAGCTCCCCACCTTATATACTGAGTCAGTGTCTCTCACTTGAACCCAGAGCTTGCCAGTTAGCCTCCTCTGGCTACTCTGGCTAGCCAGCTTGCTCTCAGGAATCTTCAGCCTCGTTCTTCCTTGCAGGAGATTACAAGCTGCTGTCACTCACTCCCAGCCTTTATGTGGGTACTAGGGATCTGAAACCTGTCCTCAGGCTTGTGTGGTCTCAGCACCTAGAATAGGATTTCCAAGTGGCCTTCCTTTCCTCTTTTGTAGGAAGAAGGCACTATAAGCGTTAAGGACAGACAGATTTGACCAGAATGTCTTATGTCAGAGTCCCCTTGACACTACTGCAAGTTTCTCCTTCAGTCTTCTTTCTTCACTGACTGCTAGGTTAAGGTCTTCAGGGTTTTTCTTAGAGTCTTTAATGGAGACAGGGAACTTAAAGTCTGAAATTTTCAAAGGTGGAAAGAGATTAGAAGTCTTCCATCATTCTTATGCTCCCCCTCTGCTTTAAGGTATGGTTCTGATGCATGATGAAATTTACATGGTTTAGGGGAAAAGTACAGACTAGAATATGCAAAGGGAACAGTGACAGTAATTCTCTGTGGTGGCTAATCCTCAGATAATTTTGAAAGCTATAGAATACATTAAAGATGAGAATAAGAATAAAAGACAAATACTTCTTTTAAAAGTGTCGTGAACACCTGAAATGTTCTAATCAGAACCCACTGCCAGATGACACAATTGCCTGAAACTCTTGCTTTGGGTTTTTTATTTCACTCGCAGGAAATCAAAGGGTAAACCCACATGAGGATATTTATACATCTTAGGATAAAATTCACAGTCATAAAAGATAAAAAGGTACACTAATCACTTGAGGTGTTCTCTGTTTGATAACTTGTTAAGACTGAAGGACCTGTTGAAAACAGTTCTCATGTATAATCCAGGCAGTAAACTATTTAATTAAAATCTTAATATTTTAGTTGACAAGTCTGCTACTGTTCTAATAAAAAGCTTTATTTGTAACGTATTTCTCTTAAAATAGTGCAGTATCTAATGGTTGGTGTTAGTGTACGTTACCTTCTCATTTGGGTCACCTATAGCTTGGATTAAGTTTAACGCTTAAGAATAAATATGGAGATTTCATTTAGATTTGCATTACAGGTTAGAAGGAGGAAAAATAAGCTACTGTATATGTGGAAAGATGACAGTTAGATGAATACCATTAGTACCTTCAGTATGGGGATATTTTATTCAGCACGGGAACAGGTATGTAGAGTAGGTTATTGGGTTTGTGGAGATCTCTAGTGCTGTCCCTTTTAGAGTGCCTTATCTGGCTAGAATGTGGCATTCATTGGTAGCACTTTTGGCTTTTACTAACAACACTATGGAATTTAAAAATTTTTAAATTATTTTTTAAGACACATTTGAGTTCAAATACTTTAATACTGTCAAGCATTTTAAAGTATTCACTGGGATTCAGAAAAAGTAACACCCAAAAAGAGTTTTTAAATTCAGATGAATAATACTGTATTCTCTATACAATACTGTATGTATATCACCTTATACAAAGGCAAGTGAAGTGGTGCATGCCTGTAATCCTGGCTGTTTAGAAGACTAAGGCAGGAGAGTCACTTGAATTAAGGAGTTTGGGGTCAGGCTGCCACTTTGTGACTTCTTTTTGATTTTTTTGTTTGTTTGTTGTTTTTACTTTAGGTTGGAACTCATCGAGAAGATTCAGTCAATCTCAATGGCAATCATTCAGTTCTGTCTAGTACTGTTGCTGCCTCAAACACAGACCTGAACCATAAAACACCAGAAAATTACAGAGGTAACTTTTGGCTTTTTTTTTTTTTTTTTTTTAGCAGTACTGTTGAAAGCAGTGTCCTTTGGAGTACTGTCCATTTGAACTGCCACCTGTGGATGCAGAAGGTCACTATCTAGTGTTTATTCAACCATTTTGGTTGCAAACTGCTGTGTAGCGCTCAGTGGGGGGTCTGTGCAGCCGTTCCTGTCCTGTCCCTTGAGTACTTCTTTCTTTCGAGTAAGCCTGCACAGTCCTTACAGTCAGTAAGACATAGGTTTGTTTGTTGAGAGCTGTGAATTACAATAACTGTTTGAGACTCATAGACATAAAATTTTCAAAGAAAAAAACCTGATCCTTGGTACAATATAGAGATTTATGAATAAATACAAATATCTAGGTAAAATTAGGACTGCTGCCTTATTGACTACTGGTTTCTGACAAGTTCTTTCTGGCTCTAAATAATGCACTTTTCTGTACCTCCAGAATGTTTCATGCAACCTAAACCCTAAGTATATTTATCTCTAGGATGCTTTGAACCATCTTGATTGGAACATGTGCAACTAAACTTACAATTTATATTTCTTTCCCTCTTTTTTAGGTGGTTTGCAAAATCAGTCTGGAAATGTTGTTCCAACAGAAATCAAGACTGAAAACAAAGAAAAAGATGAGAACCTTCATGAGCCTCCTTCATCAGATGACATGAAATCAGATGATGAATCTTCCCAAAAAGACATCAAGGTCTCGTCTAGAGGCAGAACAAGGTGTGTGTTAGTGTTCATCCCTTAAATCGCACATGTTTGCCCTAGAGAAAAAAATGTTTTGGGGCCCTGTAGAGTGCCATACATTAGTAATAACCATCCATATTCTCGGTGCTAGGCTGTGATTTTTTTTTAAATCTAAATTTACCTATTTCATCCTCACATCTCTAAAGAGAAGGCATGTGAATGTGTGACTAAAGTTATGATTTCACATCCCTTTGTGTCTTCATATAAAAAGGAAACTGCCTAGCTTGTCTAAGTTGCTCATAGTATAAAAAAGACAGTGAGAGGACAGATTAAACTGTTGTATGTCAGCCAGTAAATATTTGGTCTATGAAAGAACTAAATATATGGCAGAATCTAATGTGGTTTATGCAAACACTAGCCTGTTGCTTATTATGTGGTATTATTGGAAACCCCATGTGCTTTGGTTTCATGTCTTCTGTGCCTAGGTTTGCTTTACATTGGCAGATTTGAGTAGTTGCCACACCATTTGGCTAAAAAAAAAAAAAAAAAAAAAACAGGAAATATTTACCATTTGGCCCTTTTATAGAGAAGGTTTGCTATTCCTGATTTCAGCGGTAATTTGAGAAAAAAATGTAAAAAAGAGAGTTCCAAATAGAGTGATGCTCTCAAAAAGTTTTCCAGAGATTGAAATTGACGTGCTTTCAAACATGAATTTGGACACATTAATACATTATTTTCAAATGATTCTGTGTCTTCCTTCGGTGTTTTTGGTTTTGGTTTTTTGGTTTTACATTAAAATTAGGTGATTGGGGGTCTGGAAAAATGGCTTAGTGGTAAGAGCCCTGACTGCTCTTCCCAGCACCCACACGGCAACTCAGAACTGTCTGTAACTCCAGCTCCAGGGGATCCAATACCTTCATACATGCAGGGAAAACACCAATGCACATAAAATAAATAAATCTTAAAATACAAAATATTACAAAAAAATTAGGAGATTTTGTGTGTGTGCACATGTATATTGTGTTTTTCAGACATTGTAGCCTAGCATGGTCTTGAACTCATGATCCTCTTGCTTCAACCTTCCAAGTTGCTGGAATTACAGACATGATCTGCCAAGCCCAGCATGACTTAATATATATTTTCAGTGCATCTTATTTTATAGTATATGAATCATTTGTCATATATATGTAACATACAAGTATTGATATTTAATATGTTTTACGTATTATAAGCAGAAGGGTCAGCAATGATGGAACTAAAAGAAGCCATAACCCTTTCTTCCATTTACACACCTCATATAGCGCTCCTTTGCTTTTGACATTGTCACAGCTTTCAAAGCCAAAATGTTTCTCTTGAGAAAAATGAGTTTTTGCAGTGCTGTGGTTTTAATATATGACTTACTATGTGACGAATGTAAATGAGAAAGTAAATTCATTTGGAGAATTCTGAGACCAGTTCTAGTCATCTTAACTCATGGTTTTGTTATTCTGAGCAAATTTTAAGAGATAATTTGCATCCTGTCTTCTCTCCATGTTCATTAAGAATCAATAGACTTTCCTCTAAAGGGCCAGATCATCGATACTTCAGTTGATGGACCATGTTGTCCCTGTCACAACTACTCAGTTCTACTGTTGTAGCACCAAATAGCCAGATGGATGGATGGATGGATGGGGGAAAATTGGGAGATTTGAAAATTTTGGGGGGGAGGACCTGGTAACACTGAGACTGCTGTGTGGATCCAGTCTGTATAACAAGATAGTAGAATTATGTTTCTTGTTTATGAATAATTTGCTTTCATGAAAATGCTTTTATTCTAAAATGTGTAATGACAGATGTATTAAAATCATGGTACAGCTTAACTAAATGACTTTCAGGTACAGTGAAGAAAGAAAAGGAATATCCAGTCTCAGCTACAAGTACAGCAGTTGCTCTTGTCTAGTAGGGGTTGTAATTTCCATTTTTACCTTTATGCTTTATACTTTGGCACAGTCAGCAGTCAGCATATCTGTGGAGAAGCTCATAGACACTGTTTCTGCTGTTTTCCAGCAGTACCAATGAAGATGAGGATCTGAATCCGGAACAGAAAATTGAAAGGGAGAAGGAAAGGCAGATGGCTAACAATGCTAGAGAGCGCCTGCGTGTGCGGGATATTAATGAAGCATTCAAGGAGCTTGGCCGAATGTGTCAGCTTCATTTGAAGAGTGAAAAACCTCAGACAAAACTCCTCATTCTTCATCAGGCCGTGGCAGTCATCCTTAGTCTAGAACAGCAAGTCAGAGGTAAGTCAGTCCAGCAGAGACAGACAGGCAAACATTTGTTAACTGCTTTGCTTAGGCATATCTGAATACTGCTGTTGGTGCTATCAGAACCCAGCTCTCCCTGTACTTCCCACAAACGTGTAGAGACTAATCCTATGAAATGGAGCAGAGAACAAACAGCATCAGCCTGCTGTTCAGCTTGGAGTGCATTTGCTCCTGTGAACTCAGGATCTGACTGTCGAATTTATTTGTCTAGATCTGCCCTCCTCTCTGTACCATGTTGTATTCCTTCCTCAGCACTAGGTTTCCTTACATGTTTTACTCTGGATCTACAAATGCTGCTGGTTAGTAGGATGACCATGCATGGCTCCTACCTGTCTTTACCACACTGGGGTCCTTTACACCCATGTCATATCTCTGGGCTGTTTTTCAGGGCTGCTTTATTGATCTCTTTTAGAAATGCCATAAACCTCTAAGGCACACCCATGTGTCACATATGTGTGGTTTGAAAGGGTTCACACTGTTGACTGAGGCAATTATTCTGTTTCCTTTATTCATGAAGTCTGATGGGATCCCCAAAAAGCTTTAAAACCTCATTTTTTAGGTGTATTTGTCATAACACCTCTTCCTTGCTGGGCAGTTATCAGATAGTGGACACTCTGCCCTTGAGGTCCCAGCATCTAGCTTGTGTTTCAGCAGTCACCTATATAGTATTTCAGTGCTAATGTTTCATCTGCAAACTTTTTTGCAAGGAATTAATAAAGGTAGCTCTGGATCCCAAACTTGATACTAGTCTCTTTGCTTGTAACTTCCTCTCCTGCTTTCGTTGGATTATCAAAATGTTTATATTGGGTTTTAAGTAGAGTAGTGTAGGTATGTGCTTGCAAACTACAGCCATGATCCCTCAGCATCACTAAAGATGATAGATAACTCAGGGAATCACTGAAACAAGCCTTCATAAAAACTGTTAGCAGCTAGCTAGAAATTCTTCAACTCTATGTTCCTCCAATATGTTTGATGTGTAGGAATGGTGCATAGTCGCCCTGTTCCTAAAACAAGATATGTGCTCATCTTGTTCAAAACCCTAGAAGTTTATGTAGAGGATAAATGTTCATGAAACCAGATCTTGAAGAATTACAGCCTCCTGTGAAGACCAGGCTGGCCTCGAACTCACAGAACCGCCTGCCTCTGCCTCCCGAGTGCTGGGATTAAAGGCGTGAGCCACCAACGCCCGGCCCGTAAATTATTTTAAAAAGTGTGCCACATGCCTTTGAATCTCAGAGGCAGGTGGATCTCTTGAGTTCCAAAGCCAGCCTATCCTGGAGCTGCAGGACAGCCAGAAGCCTGTTAGAGAGGGACAGGGACTTTAGAAATTTAAGGCTATTGCCCTTTCATCCAAATGGGCAAACAGTTCCGTGCAAGGCAGGGTTGTGAAATGGTGTTTTGAAGTCCTCTCACCTCGTTATGCAGTTCCTTCTGTTGATTTCCTTGCCTTCTAATGGGTCTTCTAACATACTCAGTTAGTTGGACTAAGTTATTGTGCATGAGGAGCCAAAAGATAAACAATTTCTCAATTCCCTATGTTAACAGTGATATAAGATGCAAAGAAAAGCCAGGCAGTCGTGGCACATACCTTTAATCCCAGCACTTGGGAGTCACAGGCAGTCAGATCTCTTAGTTCGAAACCAGCCTGGTCTACAGAGCCACTTCCGGGACAAACTCCAAAGCAATACAGAAAAAAAAAAAAAAAGCTTTTAATCTAACAAGCAGAGACAGGTGGATCTCTGTAAGTTAGAGGTCAACAAAGGCTACACACAAAAACCCTGTATTTAAAAGGATAGAAAAAAAATCAAAATCAGACTTTCAGAAATTAGAAACTTTTGGTTGATTGGTCAGTTTGGAAGAGGACCTCACTATGTAGACCTGACTAGCTTAGCACTCATTCAGACCAAGCTGCTGGCTTTGCCCTTGTGACAATCCTCTTGCCTCTCGAGTGTAGGGATTATAGGCATGAGCCACCATGCACAGCAAGAGATTTTCTATCAAAGGATTGAACAGATTGAGTCAAAACCAATTCAGTGCCATCCTAGAACCTTCATCCAGTGACTGATAGAAGCAGAGGCAAACACCCACAGCTAAACACTGAACTGAACCCATGGAACCCAGTGACAGAGAGAGGAGCGATGAGCAAATTGGCAAAGAATGGGCTGGCAAAACCAGCAGAGACAGCTGATCTGAACAGGGGAGAGCTCTTGGACCCCAGACCGACAGTGGGGAGGCCAGCATGGGACTGATCTAGAACCCCTGATTGTGAGAGTCAGTGAGGAGGCTTGGGCAACCTATGGGGCCCTGGGCAGTAGATCAGTGTTTATCCCTGGCATACAAAACGGACTTCGTGTGCCCATAACAGAAAGAGGGATGCTTTCAGCCTGGACTCTTAGGGGAGTGCCTGGACCCTGCCCTGAGTGAAATGACAGACTCTGGATATCCCTTATGTGGAAGGAAGTGGGGATAGGGTGGGAGGCTGGGTGGATGGTAGGGGGAGGTGTGGAAGGAGGGGAGGGAGAGGGAACTGGGATTGACATGTGAAGCAAGCTATTTAAAATTAAATTTTAAGCCGGGCGTTGGTGGCGCACGCCTTTAATCCCAGCACTCGGGAGGCAGAGGCAGGCGGATCTCTGTGAGTTCGAGGCCAGCCTGGTCTACAGAGCTAGTTCCAGGACAGCCTCCAAAGCCACAGAGAAACCCTGTCTCGAAAAACAAAAACAAAAAAAATTAAATTAAATTTTAAAAAATTCAAGTATAGGGAAGATATAGTTAGGCATAAGGGACACTACATGCATAAAGCATAGTATGATTTAGGATTTCCTCGTGATAAAATTGGGGTTTGTTGGCATGAGTGGGATGAAGAGTGGAATAGATAAGGCGTTCAGCACATTACTACAATGTCTGAACAGTAGAGTCAAAATTGTAAAAAGGGTATATTTCCTATAAAATTTTCAGTAGGAAGACATTGGAGGGAATGTGTGTATGGGTTATGGGTTGGTCGGTGGTAAATTCACATAAATGCAATTGCCCTTTTAAATTAGAAGAGTGTCAGATCTCCTAAAGGTGGGATTAGAGAGTTTTTGGTTTTGGTGTGGTTTTTGGTTTTTTGAGACAGGTTTCTCTGTATTGTTTGAAGGCTGTCCTGGAACTGGACCTGTAGATCAGGCTGGCCACTAACTCACAGAAATCCACCTGCTGGGATTAAAGGTGTGTGCCACCAAAGCCCGGCTTAATTCAAACCTTTTAATTCACACTGGATGGCATTTTTTCACTAAGCAAGAAAAACGGGTCTTCTTAATTTACAGATATTGATTGGGTAATTCTTTTTGTTAATAAAAGGTTAATACACCTTTAATCCCAGCACTTGGGAGGCAGAGGCAGGCAGATCTTTGTGATTTCAAAGATAGAGCTAGTGCTAGTTTCAGAGCAGCTAGGGCTATACAGAGAAAAAAAAAGACTAATACTAGTGATCAGGGGCCTAGAGTTGTTAGCTTGTTAACTGAGAACTTACTAGACTACTAAAGTCTAAAAAACATAATATGAAATGTATTTCCATGTCTCAGACTGGTTTCACTTGTTGAGAGCAGAATTTACATATCTGACTTCAGTAACTTTAGCCAACTGGAATTCAGTTGCCCAAGCCTTGTATCAGGCTTCCAGATAATCTCATAATATAGTAAGTACAAATCTACCATTTGGTGCTTTCTAAAATTAGTTCTCTTGCCAGAAACCTAATCTGCAAGCACTTGGTTTCCCAAAGTGTCCTCTGACTAAGGTCTTAAAAGCTTGCTACTTGCAGTGTATATTTGAGCTTCTGGCTGCTCTCATGGCTGTTTTCTTCAATTGCCCAGTGGGAATTAGAGGGTTACCTGGTTTTTGTTTCTTTTTCTTTTCGGTGGTCTAACTGTGTAGCCCTAATTGGCCTCAAACCTAACTCATGTTTCTAAGTATTGGGATTTTGTAAGCATGGCCACTATTCTGATCTTAGAGGGAATCTTTTTTTTTTTTTTTTTTTTTTTTTGGTTTTTAGAGACAAGGTTTCTCTGTGGCTTTGGAGGCTGTCCTGGAACTCACTCTGTAGACCAGGCTGGCCTCGAACTCACAGAGATCCGCCTGCCTCTGCCTCCCGAGTGCTGGGATTAAAGGCGTGCGCCACCAACGCCCGGCTCTTAGAGGGAATCTTAACTGAGAAAATGCTTCCATACGATTGGCCTCTAGGGCATTTTCTTGATGACATCGAGGGTCCAGCATTCCAGCACTCGGGAGGCTGAGGCAGGCAAATCTCTGTGAGTTCAAGGCCAGACTGATCTACAGAGTGAGTTCCAGAACAGCCTCCAGAGCTACACTGAGAAACCCTGTCTTGAAAAACAAAACAACAACAACAAAAAATTACCCAAGAAACACCATCTCTGATAAATCTACAAGAGCATCATCCTGAATGAGGGAAGGCAGCAAATGTTTCCTCGCCAACCAGGATAAAGCTGAGAGGTAGTGTGTGTTGTAATTGAGGCAGGGCAGTGGTGGCGCACGCCTTTAGTCACAGCTATCAGGAGGCCGAGGCAGGCGGATCTCTGTGAAGTCAGCCTGGTCTACAGAACTAGTGCCAGGACAGGCTCCAAAGCTGCACAGAGAAACCCTGTCTCAAAAAAAAAAAAAAAAGCTGACTAGCAACAAACCAAGCTAAGGCCTGGTATTTATAACTAAGGATAAGACCATGTGTGATTTATTCGGGAGCTGGGTAGTGGGCCCTCAAAAAGCCCAAAGAGCAAAAACAACACACGACATCTTACTATTTGGAGAAACATGATGGCATTAGATCAGTGTATTAAGGGAAATGAGCCAGATAGTTTCTGGCACGTATAGTCCTGCTGCTGAGCTTTTACTTTTTCTTTTCATTTTATGCTGAACAAAACCAGCACTTATTACATGGTAGACACATGCTTTGCCATAGAGTTAAATGTCAAGTTCCTGTG